GAATCTGAAGCAAATTGTATTTCACCCTAATTTGAAAACTATTCGAGGTAAGACTTTAATGGCAGCCAAGAGTAGCACTAAATACTCTTCTGCAGGATAACAGCCAGGGGGCGAATATTGCGTGCGTGGCGGAACTTGGATACATTTGTATCTGACATCAAGCAGTGCACAGAGACAGACAGAGAGAGAGTGAGAGAGAGAGGGGGCGAGCGGGAGAATGAGTGAGGAGCATGCCATAAATGGGCATAGCACGTGTAGCTACTTATGCAATTGTGCAGGCTTGTGGGCCAAATTCAATTTATTATTCCGCCATATGAGCTTTCGCACTTAACTTGCATGAATATATAATGAGCAGAGCGTGCATGGCCAGGGTAGGGAAAATGTGGGTGAGGAACAGGTTTCACCCAGCGAACAGGTGTGGGCTGCATTTCGCTCATCGTTGCGTGCTCCGCTGAGCCTGCTGTGAGGCAGCCAAATTGAATTATTAATAACACGCAGCGCGACTGAAACAATCTATAAATATATGTAGATGCAGATGTAGATGTAGATGTATATACATATGTATATGTAGTCCTCTATGTGTGGAAAGAAGCCAAGTGAAAAGGCGACAACCTTGGGACACTTGGCCAACAGAAACTAATCGTGCCACTTATGGCCATAATTTGTCAATTTTCTAAACAATTCCCCAAAGTCGCATAAAATGTCGTCCGTGTCTCTCTTTTGGCTTTTGGCACCCATTACGCTCATTTTTCTTCAGCTCTAGCCCTCGCTCTATCACCCCCACTGTCCTCTGTTTTGCCTCTTATGAAAGGGACGCTGTGAAAAATGAAAGCGAACCCAAATTGCCAGCTACGCTTTCTTTCTGTCTGTCTGTCTGTTTGACTGACTGTCTGACTAGCCGAGTCTGACTCAACTCAACTCGACTCGACTCGACTCTCGACACGATTCGACTCTGGGCTGAGTGGCTCGTCGCTAAACGCATTTAAATGCCATTGTATGCATAAATTACTCAGCGTCCGACAGCTTTAGCCTAAAAGTGTAAATGAGTCTGTGGCTCGCTCTGCTTTTTTGCTACTCCATGAAAATTGAAATAAATGCGTGGGCAACTCTTTCAGCATTTGTATTTTTGGCATTTGCGGCCGAAGTGGAGGGGTAAACTTGTTGCAGAGTTTCCAGATTGTCAACTGAAATATGTGTTAAGCTTAAGCGAAAATGATGTCCACAGAATCGGACTATTAGAGAAACAAAGATTCATTAAAAAGCAAATCCATTCTAGCATGAATTCTCATTTTGAATGGATTTGGGACATACACAACTAGGCTAAAAAGTAATTTAAAATTCATTTAGTCTTGGCTGCCATTTAAAGTTGTCTTGATTGAGAGAAATAAATGTTCGCATATTAATAAT